TTTTTTTTTTTGTGACAACAACCCAGTGTGCTTTAATTGTGAAAGCCAACCTGCTGTGTTTCCGGTCTCCACCTGGCTCTCTCTGGTTGACTTGACTCAGCTTCTGCTAGACTGGCACCTCCAAGCCGTTGCCAGTCGAATGCCATGGGGGGGCTTCAGCACTGCTGGGGTGCGCAGAGAAACTCGGTGTCCAGCCAAAAAAGACTTCGTTTATGATCACGTTGACGATGGGACAGTTCATGTCGTTTAATTCAGCATTTAGGAAGATTTTAGCAGTTGGATGTCATGCTGACTGTAAGTGCAAAGGCCTGTGTGCATCATTTACAGGGAAAACATGTAAGGGCGTATTATTATCTAGAGTACACTATTAGTTATTATTTAGGAATATTATAGTGATACAAAGCTGTATTATAATGTTTTATTGAATAACATGGCTTCATCTGTGTTCAATTAGTTGATTCATCCTTTTTCAGTTTAATTTAAGATAAATCTAAAATCAGTGTAAAGATAGTTCAACAACCACTTGGGCAGCTGCAAACTGATTGTCTTGACCATCAGTTGCGTGCCATTATTGGCTGATGATGACATGCAGTTTCGCAGTAATCCAATTAAATCTGTGATAATAATCACAGATTAAATATACAGTTAATAAAGTCTCATAATACATAGAGTTGATTGCCCTATTGTCACATGGTTCGGCGCACCAAAGGCAATAAACGGACCAATATGGCCAAGCCAGTGTTCACACAATATGGTGGTGGTTATCCTTTTTATGTGGACTCAGGTTTTATGATTTTTTACAAGGTGAGCCATACAAACAGACAGACAGAGTATTAGCAGAATAATAATGCCACACGCTTATAATTAATAAAAAATAATTTATACCCTAAGCAAACAAAATGCTAAACAACATAGGCCTTTAGAATGAAAGTCTCTCATACTGTCTGTGGTTAAATCCCAGGGGTGTGATTGCACCACCAAAGTGCCAAAAAAGGTTTGGCAGAGCAACCTGTCAAACTGATCAAATTGTCCTGAGAGCAACCCCCGTTAGTGGCAGAAACAAGAATTGCTTTTGAGCCGACATCTTCCTCAGGGCACTGATATCACTAGCAGTGCAGACAGGATCTGCATGATTTGGACATAACATTTGAATCATTTCGTAGATCAAAATATTATCTTATTGTCTTCGGTACTAGCTCACACATAGGACATTTGGCATTTAAAGAATCTTTTTAAGGAAATCTCCGGACCTAAAGCAGGAAATATACTCCGACACTGAAGGAAAACTATGAATAACGCTTTCTATGTCTAAATCTAGGTAAATTGTTGGCCAAAGTTACTGTAAGATGGTGCAACTAAAATGCAACTTCAGCTCCGTGGAGGTTGTGTTTCAGCAGGAAATCCATCAGATAAACATGCACAAGATTTATCAACATTTGCAATGTTCAGGAGGAAATTCGGACTCAAACACTCAAGAGGGTTTGTCTACGATGTGCAGTGTGTTGCACAGAAGTTGCATTATGTAAAGCCATCCTTACATTTTCATTGGATTGTTCCAGTACAAAATAAAACAGTGTTAAACCAACCGAAAACCTGTTAGCATCACTGTAATTAGCTTGGCCATTTACGGTGAAATGGTGATGTAAGACTCCCATTGAGTTACTCTTCTTCACAATTAAGTGGCGTTTTAAAGTTGCTGATACTTTAAGTATGTCACCACTTGTTTCAAAGTCCTTTGCCCATTTGCAACACCGCTATTTCAAAGTTTAAAGCTTGTTTAAAGTAAAAAGTATGAGTTGACCGTTAACATGCACCAAATTAGAAATATCAAGCTAGAAATTGCTTATCTGTCATTTAATGTGTGATTTACAGGCCTTTATTAAACCTGTGACTTATTGGTCCACTTGTTTTGGATCATAGTTGAATGTACCGTCAGGGCACCATTTGGAAAAATAGCCTCAACACACATACGACGACACAATCTTCCCTAAAATCATCATTTATTTACAGAGACACATTGAGAACACCTGCATTCAGTTTTGATGAGATCAATCTATTTGGCAAATTGATTAAAAATCTAGCAAACGTAGGTCCTATGTTAATAGAATAACTCATCAAAGGAACATTCAGACAGCTTTTCCCCATGCTCTTCATCTTGATTCAGAATCCTGCGTTTCGTCTTCGTCGGGGGTTTCATCATTTTGAAGAGCCAGTGATAAACACTTAATGGTGTGAGAGACTACACCACGAGCAACCTGATAATCAAGTCATCACATGTCCATTTTTTGTCGATTTTTGAAGGGGGTCAGCAAGTGAGCTCCCAAGGAAAAAATGTCTGCAGAAAAAAAAAAATCACATCCCGACATTGCTTCAATATCAGTGCTGCAGCAGACAATTAGCCAGCCAACAGAGAGTGTGTGAACAATGTCGTCGCTCGCTTCTTGAATGCACTGTGATTAAATCCTTGTTTTTTGGTAATTTCCTTTTGTGTCAGGGGTTTAGGGAACCCAAGCAGAAATAAAAACTCCACTAAAAAGTCCCTAACCCTGCAGAACACAATCACAAACTAACTATGTACAAATTTACAGTATGTACACATCCCCAAGCCAAACAGACATGACTCAGAGGACTATGTCCTCCCCGTTTTATGAGTATGCTTCCCCCACATGTTCTGTAAAAATCCCCTGGGGTTGGGCACGGGAGCGACTTAGTGAACATTTGTTCTCATAGGACCTTCAGATACAGTCGCTGTGTGGAGTCCCGGAGAGCCCAAAGAGAAAATAATGGGCGAAAAACCCAGACACTGCCAGACATATTCCGCTAGAAGTCTGCGCTATACATGAGAAAGCTCAATCTGCTGAAGCACATTATTGGAGATAAGAATTTCAGCCGACTGACTCAAACATTCTGCTTATCAGTGCAGAGCAGAAATACTGTGCGTGACAGAAATCAGGTCTCCCCATTGCTGTCCCATTAGGACCCGGTTAAACATACAGCTGTGCAGTACACTCAGCCATGCATGCAGCATGTTTCAGTAATAGGCTACATGTACTTTAGGGGAAGCAATCGTGAAAACGCAATTGTCATTAGTGAGCAATAGATTGGGTCTTGTTTCATGTTGTGTACATCTTCTATGATTTGGTAGAAAATGTCAGCAAAGCAATACACACATTGTTAAAAAACATTACATACTGTATGTATAGTATCATGACGTTATTAGGGAGAGGAACATATCTTTAAAAACAATGTTTTGTGGGTCACTTATGCATTTTTCTGAAAATGATCCGTCATTAAATGTTGGATTTTATTCATTATTTCAAGCTTTGCAGATGTTTTGGCCCCAATATCATGTCCAGCATGTATCTTTATAATTACCACTGGGACAAGTAATCTAATCTAAAATTTAGAGCACATCCTTGTCTTTGATACACCTAATTGAATTGACGAGTTAGTCAAATATGCCTATTGCAGTAAGGGGACAAAATGTTAGGTGACAATATCACAAAGATGTTGTGGTTTGTTTTTTCATCTATATCCATCAAATATTAAATAAACAAACCAGATCATTTGTTTGACACATTTGAACAATTTTTGGATTATGAGGTTTCATTCATCAAATGTGTGAATAATCAGAGTAATGCTACCACCAAAGCAAAATCAGAGCCACCCTCGACCGGAGCTCTCAACCTGTCTGATCTGTCCGGTGCTCTCCAGCTTAAGTTACTGTGAAAATGTTTCAATTCCGAGTTGTTGCAAAAGGCTAATGCTTTGAAAGTGAGTGTTCTATTTCACCCGAGATGAATAGTCAGACAGTAATAGCTTCCACCCCCGGGATGCTCATGATAAAATATCTCCAATATCTCTACAGAGCACAAAGATAAGTACAAATACGGAAAACCGTACAAGTACAAATACATCCAGTACTTGAAGTACTGGAAGTACAGTATTACACATGATACTGTAAACGACTCATCCATCACAATCCCTTCTTGCTGTCCTCTAAACCAATGCAATTTGGGATCGGTCATTCAACCTTGGTATGCATATCATGTATGTATACTCTATTTTTAGTTGAACACGTACAAGGACAGTTGCTTTTTCTACAATAAAGATTATTTCAGTATAGAAATGATTTCCAAAGAGTGTGAAATCCCTTGTGACTGGTGCTTGATTTCATTTTGAGCGTAGCACAAATTACAGTAGATTGTGGTTGTTGCATGTTCAACTTTTCCTCCACACATCTCTCAGTCTATTTTTTTCACTGAAAAACAATGTTGATCTAGAAAGTATCACTTTTCATTCTGGAACATCAGTAAATAAATAAAAAATTTAACTTAAAAAAAATCAGCCTAGCCCATCTTCTTCTGTCGATCCAGGAATTTTTGTCGTCTGTCCGGAGGTATCTCCTCTAAAGCGATACCATGATTGGCTCCCCTGTAATAGGAAATACAGCTTTTTATGCACAGAGACTGGAATGCAGTGTAAAGATGAAATTAGGCAAATCACATTAATGCATAATGTGGAGGAGCAACCAAAACATTCTCTTACCCTGTAAGGTCTGGAGGAATAGGCAGAGGCTTGGTGAAATCCTCTCTTCCTACCAACCAATATGTGTTCTCAATCCCTTTTCCCTAAAAATAAACAACCATTAGAATTCATTAGCTATTATTACGATGCCGGTGTTACTGTGGGTACATTATGAGAGCGTGTCTAGTCATTTTACCTTTAACTCTGTCATGCCTCTGTGTTCAATTTTGTATCCCAGCTTCAACTCGTTCAGAACATCGACCGTTCTTCGGTTGACATGGATTCTGTAAGCTATGATGGAAATGACAGAAACACACGGCAACATTTCCACACTGAAAGTTGAACGTGTAAATTCTCTATTGTCTTTGGAACTTTAAGGTTTAAAATGATAATATCTGAGACATGTATAGAGTCAGGCTGTCGTTTTGGTATTAAACCACCTGGTGGCAGTAGACTACCCATTAATACCTTGCTGCTAATGGCGTAAATTCCTAATTGTTATTTTAGCAGTGGTAGAAGAAGTATTCAGATCGTTTACTTAAGTAAAAATCCACACTGTGAAAATAATCCACTACAAGTTATAGCTCTGCCTTCAAATACGTACTTAAGTAAAAGTATTAAACAATTATCAGCAAGATTTGCTTAAATTATCAAAAGTAAAAGTACTTATTGTGTAGTAAAATGTTACTTGTCAGTATTTTACTATTATATATGATGTTTATTGGATTAATATTACTGCTGCCTTAATGTGTATGTTGCATTTTACTGTTGTAGATGTTTAAGGTTGTGTTAATTTGTTGTGTGTCATGTTTGTAGTGTCGCTGTCCTGTAAGAAACATGCTTCTCTATAACGTAAACTCTTAATGAGCTCAGAAAAAGAGCCCTGCTTTCAGCTTTGTGACGATGCATTTTCCAGCTGACCCAAGATGATATTTACATAGTTTATTTATCTGAAGATGTAGAAGAAATGTCGCAACACATAAAGAAACAAGTCATCCTTCAGCTCATCAGAAAAATTCATTTTTCAAAATCATCAGTAAGAACTAGTACAAACTAGTAACTAAAGCTTTTACACAAATGTGGTGGAGAAAAAGAAGTACAATACTTGCTTTAGAGATAAAGTGGAGTAGGACTATAAATCTGCATACAATGGAAATACTCAGATTTGTACCTAAGTACAGTACTTGAGTACTGAGTTTCGTATATAGTGAAGGTGAATAGTTTCATGTATTACAGTACGATCTTCTGGGAGCTCTATCAAATGGAAGAGTTGTATTCCTAAACATAAGTTAAGTGTACTTAGCAGCTACTACGTAAGTTCATAGTTAATTTATTCAGCATGCAGAATGTAGCGGAGTCAGACTTGGTCACTGATGTTGACGTTTACACCGAAACTTCAAATTGGCCTCTAATTCTGCTGATAGTCTTAAAGGATTACCAAGGACTGCTAACTTAAAGCCCCGTTTAGGCTCAGGCAGCATGCACACAAACTACATACTGTGTGTACTCTCAACCACGATAGAACTTTAAAAAAAATAAAAAAGAAGAAAAGATGTATGAGACACTCACGCAACCCTGTGGACTCCATTCGAGATGCCGTGTTGACAGTGTCTCCAAACAGACAGTACCGAGGCATCGTAAGACCCACTACTCCTGCTACCACTGGGCCTGCAAACATAGCAAACAAACACACACACACACACACACACACACACACAGACACACACACGACTATGACGCTTCTCCTAGACAAGCAGTACATCATAACCCATTTTGTGTGTCAATTTGTTCTCTTTTTAGACTCCTAATCAATTTTCATTTCAATAAAAGTACACGCAATTATTTTCCCAAAACAAGACGTTAAAGCTATGAACTACCACTTCTGCGTGCATAAAGAAATTCATAGATTAGGGTTAGAAATCTCAAGTATGCAGTGTGTTAATTGGATGACAGCGCTCTAAGTGGATAGCGTTTCACTGTTCCAGGAATAAGTTCCAGACGAGGATAAAGGATAAAAATACCTCCTTGCCTTAGCAGCTTGGGTTCCTGTACTCTTATTCCTCTCTAACATATACACCTTTTCTCACTCTGGAAGGAAGTTTTGATTAATTTCATGCCATATTACTCATTACACGTGCATGTGGCTCTTAAAGTAATCACTCATTACTACCGTATATAGAGAGAGCATCACAGCGCAGAAAGGATGGACATATTGCTCACCAGAGTGCAGGCCAATACGAATTCTGACCCTCAGTTCAGGCATGTGCCTCATCTTGAAGGTCCCGATGCAGTGGAGGATGTCAAGAGACATGTTGGCCATCTCGGCTGCATGACGGTTGCCATTCCTAGTGGGGACTCCTGAGGCTACCATGTAGGCGTCTCCGATAGTTTCCACCTTAATGCAAAACAAATAACAGTTCAGCAAACACACAACTGCATAGAATTCTTTTGATAAATAGTGGACATAAATTGAGGTGGCACATGATTTCCTGGGTCAGATATGATTCAGGAGCAACAGAAGAAATATTTAACAACATCAACAACATAGAGAAACCTAGATCAAATTCTTTTAGAGATTTTGATACAAAAAGACCATAAGCAGAGTAAAATAGTTCAAAAACAGAGTCGTTCTTCGTTACTATACACTCACCTTGTAGACATCATGCAGTCCAATGATGGCATCAAAGAGTGTGTAGAGGTCGTTGAGTAGGTCGACCACCTCGATGGGATCGCTGAGAGCCGAGATGGTGGTGAAGCCCACGATGTCACTGAAGTACAGCGTGACCTCGCTGAAATGCTCGGGTTTGACCGGCTTGCCCGTCTTCAGCGCCTGGGCCACAGACCTGGAGGAGGAAGATGATGAGTGGGCGACACTGCTGAGGTGCTGAAGCAGAAACAGTCTGGAGACTGAGCTTGAGACTGCTCGAAGTAATCTGACATTCTTTTGGGGCATCACAAACAGACTTTTACAGACATTCTACGGCTGTCCCTTTCTCTTACTGATCATTGCAAACAGGCAAACTGGCATTTCTAAAAACATGACTGAGATACACACAACGACAGCATAGTGTGACTCTCAATGTGTGGGTAAGTGTTAAATACAGGAAAGCCACCTCTCTTTGGCAGATCAGTGATGATTTCAAACACAAATATGATTAAATATGATAAAGATTCAATAAGATATGATTAAACTAATCCAATGCAATGAAGAACACAGTTGAGTATTCACCCCCTTTGCAATCTTTCCTATTTTGTTGCATAACAACTTGGAATTAAAACAGATTTGTATGTGTCACATAATGTATCACATGATCTAACGGAGCAGCATTAAATCCATTAGTAGAAAAAGGAATGAACTACAACAAACCTGCAACAATACCCACGGACCAGACAAGAAAGGCATCAGAGAAGCAACAAATAGACCAAAGACGGCCCTGAAGGAGCAGGAAGCTCCACCGAGGATATTGGAGTATCTGTCCATATAGGATCACTTTCAGCCGTACACTACACAGAGCCGGGCTTTATGGAAGAGTGGCCAGAAAACAGACATTATAAGTAAAATAAGTAAACACATTTGGAGTTTGTGGGACACTCCAAATGTGTTTTCTTATTTTTCTTGTTGCATCTCTGATTAATGCCCTCCTTGCCTGGTCCGTGAGTTTTGGGGATGTCATATTATTTCCATTTTCTAATAATGGATTTAATGGTGCTCCATTATATCATGTGACACTTAAAGTGCACACAGCTGGACCCTATTTAACAAATGATGTGATGTTACCAATTGATTGTCATTGTGATGTTATTTAGGGACAATTCTAATGTCAAGCCCTAAAACAGAAACAGAAGATCAGTTGAATTACAAATCATACAGGAAACACAACTGAGGTGCTGATCTGTTGCACATACTAAAGCACATCATGCAGTATTGTAAATGTGTATTCTTCGTTGGCCTGATGAAACACATTTTCACACATTATTGATTCCTTGATTAACACATTCCTTTAACACAAACAAATAGCCTCCTATAGAAACAGACTGTGACTAATTCAAATGATAGAATACATTCCACTAGCAGGACATGGTTGCTAGCAAAATCTAAAGAAGGTTTGACTGTCTGATCACATCCACATCACTGGTTGTTGCACTTAATATTCCCACATTCGAAAATTGCCGCATAACTAGAGCCATATGTTCGGTAAAAAAAATGTAAGTCATGGCGAGAGAAAGACAGATGTAGGAAAAATAAAAAAAATACGTTTTGACTGTTTGTGTTATCCTGCTTAAGAGATGACAGCCCCATTCAAGAAGAGTCTCACAACATGTTTTTACTTTGGTGTTGATTCATCCGCATTTTGGTCCCCACAGCTCCTGAGAGTTATTAAGTTAAATCTCTACAGTAAGTCAGCGAGCAGCCACCCTGCTGAACTGAGCACTGAGTCCCTAATAGCTTCAGGGAGGCCGTCTCTGACCTTTGACCTCCCTGAGGATACAAAAGTAAGCATAATCTGTTGTAATTGTGCTGATGCTCTACAGGCCTCAAGAGGCCTTGATCTTTAGTGAGCATGACGTCAGTTTCTGTCGCGTGTCAGGTAAAGTTGCCACTCACTTGGGCAACATCTGAGCCACCAGTTTGTCAGTCTTCTGCCTCTCCACCTCCAGCTCCTCTGTCCTCTCTCTGATCAGATCCTCCAAGTTGGAGGAGTACTGCTCCAACATGCGCAGCATAGAGTCGATGATGTTGGTCTTCTTTCCTTTGGTGATGCTCTTGAACTGTGATGTGAAAAGGAGGGAACAGGATTTTCATCTCCAGCTTGCTGCTTTCACACAGAACAACAAATAAGGAGGAGTAGACGTGCATCGACACGCTTTTTCAGTGTTTTTACCAGTTTGAAGATCTCCTCAAAGGTCGGCCTCTTCGCTGGCTCTTCATTCCAGGACTGTTTCACAACCTGTATCACATCCACCGGGGACTCGTCAGCAGACAGGACAGGCCGACACAGCGGAGGAGGCTCTTTGAGCTTGCTGATGATCTCTGTCAACACACACAGATGTTATGCATGCGTACACAGAAATGCGCAAAAACAGACAAAACACTTCGGAAGGAAAAATCATTGTCTCTAATGTGATTTTCTGCACCCAATTTTGTCAAATAAACGAGAATGTCATTGGTGATTAAAAAAAAACTAACATCGGGCAGCATTTTCAGCAACAATCCTAATATTTGTAATGTTCTTTTCAGCTCAGTGTGAACTGTTTTGTGTATAAGGTGAGCGGAGAGCAATAAAAAAACAGCATGTCATTATCCCCACAGGCGGGGAACATAAAAGACAGGATTTCAAATTGAACCTGTACAAAACTATTCAAAATCTTCATAGATCTTTTGTACATGGCCTTCTACTACGTCAGTTTTTTTTCATGTATCCATCCTTTGGGGTTACTAATGCCATATCACTCACCCTTGGGCGGCATGTCCAGCATGCAGTAAGGTGCAGAGCGGGAGATGACCTCCTGCCCGATGATGGAGAAGCTGTAGACATCCCCAGCGAAAGTGCCCCTCCTCCTTTGACTGGTGCTTCTCAGCAGCTCAGGAGCCGTCCAAAGCAGATCTTTACAAAGATTGCACAAAGTAATAAATAAACAAAAAGTATTGATAGGTACGAGCTTGGTCACTAAATTAATCAGCGAATGCACATGAACTCACTTTCTGGCTTTTCCTCATTAGTGTCAATGCCTTGGGCAATCAAAATTTCATTGAACCCATAGTCTGTCACCTTCAATACAAAGCGGCCGTCTACCACACAGTTACGGGATTTGAGCCGTCCGTGGACGATGTCACGATTGTGCAGGTACTTCATTGCCTGATGACAGTTTGAGATAAACATCTGAGCGATGAGGCAACATGACAAGATGGGAAATGAAAGGCATGTTGGTCATTTTGTCTCTCTCACCCGAATCAGATCCATTAACAGGGAAGACTTGAACATCCAGTCAAGACGCACTTCCTCATTGTTGAGCAGATTCTCCAAGCTGCCCCTGGTGCAGTGTTCGGTCACAACTGCAAGGATCCCAGAGTCGCAGAACAGTCCCAGGAACAGATTGAGGTTCTCGTGCCTCATGTCTCGGAGCTAATTGGAAGACAACGGAAACATCAAGACACAAGTCACTCAGTTTGATGCGTTTTATTGTGGCCAGGGACCAGACCAGTCTGTATTTGGGGTTTCCTGGCAACAATGGAAAGTCAGTAATTTGGATAATGACACATACATTCACAAACCTTGACAAAGACAAACTCAGTGTTGCTGTTGACACCTGATACAGGTCCACCGGGACATTTCTTCAACCAAACCCAGTCACCCTGGGACAAACACAAAACGACAGACTTTGTGAAACCAAAAACCAACCAAAAGGTTAAATCTGAGTTTATTGAATGTGTCAGTCGCCTCACCTCAAACACAGCAACATTGGAGCTGTCTGGTGTGGATGCCAAGTAACTGCGACCGGACACCGACTGATGAGGAGTCTTCATATCGAGCTGGCTTTTCAGGATACTTTCATCATTTATCTTCTGCTCACACACACAGTTGAAAAAGGACGGGGCAGCTCAGAGTACATCATCTTTTACGGGCAAACAACTGCCATATATCACATACTTGCAAAGCAGAGAGAAGCAAAATACAGATAGTATATAGACAGAGATTCAGCAAGGAACTGACCCGTTTGCTGACTTGAGTGTTGATGAAGACCAGGTCGTCCAGTGTCAGCACTACCTTTGTTGATCCGCCGTTACTACCTCCAAAGCTGAACCCAATCCTGCCACTTCTCCTGGACAAAAGAAAAACAATCAGTCTTTTTGAAAGATCACACAAGACCGGATGAGATATGATTCTCTGCTACTCTGCTGTACATACTTGATACTAATAAAGAAGTTAGCTCCACATCCAATGACTGCAATGAACACAAGGAGAAGAAAGAAGAAAGTGACTGTGTCCAGGCCTTTGGGAAGAGAAGAGAAACACAAAGACAGTTTGAAACCACTGAATTATTCAGTAGTGCACCAGCTTATATTTATTTTCTGCAATGACACTACTAGTGCCCTCACCTCCAGTACAGGCAAAGTATGGGCTAAACCAGCAGCCGGAGTCTGTGTAGGGCGTGCTGCCCGCAAAATGGATGGAACGACCGAGGTATTTCAAGCTCCCGACCCCTCCATATGTATGAGCGGCATCCAGAACATGGGTGGAGTAGAGATAGTGGCCAATGCCGCTGTAGTCCAGCACTACATAGCGAGCTTGCATGCCTTCCCCTTCCTTGCCAGCCTTCAAGTGCTGATTAAAGCCTTCAAATTCAAAGCCGCCCTTGGTGTCACCCAGGATCGGACCGGTTACCCAGCGGCCTCCATTGGCGCGGGCCTGCTCAGCAGCCATAGCTGTGTAGTAGATCATGTTGTAGATGGTCCCAAAGAATGGAGACACCTTACAGAGGAGACAGTAATGTGGTGATTTTGAGTCAATTCAAATGTTTGTATAAGTGCCTTTGAGTATCCTCTTCTTCCAGATTTGTCATATTTTTCTATTATCATTTACCATTACTATACACACAAGTATCACACAAATCTCACCTGTTCTGGTGGGGTGCTGCTGCGGATTTCATAGCTGTCCTGACCGTCTTTGAAAGCCTCATAGAAATTGCTTTTGCCAGAGTCCATAGTGATGGTGAGGACTCCGTCAAAAGCTTTGCGCAGCTTGGTGTCATTGCCAAGCATATAGTAGGGTGCATCGTTGTAGGGTAGTGAGTAGAGGAGGGCGTCGTAGGGGATAAACACGTAGCCACGGTCGATCATACGCATGAACAAGGCTGTTGTCAGAAGCTCGTACTGGGATTGGCCACCAATCAGGACAGAGGGCATGCACATAATCACCACTGTGAAGAGAAGAGGGATTAAAAACGGATTCATTTGCATGATTCATGTGGAATAAAACAGTGTGAAAGACGTTTTAATGTTGTTACATTCATGTTTTTTTGTTCTTGTTTCAGTCATCTTCACATCTAAAACTCACCTCTGACCCGGTCTGCTTCCCGCACTTTTTTCAGCGCTCTCCGAGGCCCATCCTTGTCCGACTCCATGGTCACCACAGGGTTGACAGGCAGGCCAAGGGCCCTCAGTGACGAGGCCAGCTCATGTCCCGTGGCTTCCCACAAATCTGTCTCCTCTGAGATTATGGAAACATGGGCCCAACCAAAGTATCGCAAAACCGAGAAAAGTACACGGGAGGACAGTGGCAGCGGCCGCAGGAAGTTGGAATACATCCCTAATTTATTCATGTTGGGTTTGAGGCAAGCCCAGGAAAGAATCCCAACATCCCACTCTTTTGCATACAAAGCGGCGGAGGAGCAGTAGCCTGGGTTGGCAGGGCCCAGAAATGCAGCACCATAACCTTCCAGCTCAGCAAAGCGAGCCAGGGCACGGGATGACTTGCAGTCCTCATTGACCAGCGTGTAGTCATACCAGTAGCCTTTGTTGAGGTAGGGGTCCTTGTTTATGCGAGTAGTGGCGAGGCGGGCTGCCAAGTCAGGAAGTGCTTTGGAGTATAAGAGGTCACACGTCCAGGGTCCAACCAGGACCACCTTGAAAGTGGTCGCCCAGGCCTGACAGGGCATTAATGAGAGTATGAGCAACGGCACAAGGAGCCAGTTCCCACACCGGCTCCTGGAGCGTTGCATGGAGGATGACGGCAACTGTGGTTTTGACGATGAAGCTGCTAATGATTTGAACACACTATATCCACTGCAACTGTTTGCAGCCACTGTCCGCACGCGTCCCTTTCTCTTCACTTTTGTTGAGTCGTGCTGCCATCGTGGGTGGTAGGACAGGTTGTGCAGAAAGCGAGGGTCTCTGTGACTTGCCATTTTCCTCTCACAGCTATGCTTTAGACACAGCAGGGGGAGCGGAGAGTTTGTGGTGTGACAGTGAATGTGTCTTTGTGGATAGGACTGCCTCCCTTGGCACTCAGCAGGCCTCTAGTCCAAAACTGGACAGGCGACGAGACAACCCCAAGTCATCACTGCCTCCGGGGAATAAGGGAGAAAAAAGGTGCAATTAGAAAACGTGTTGCTCAACAATTTAGTGTGATCTGCTTTCGCTCCGTAGGTTCTGAGACACAAACAAGGATACCTCAGGGCTTAAACAGTCTTGTACTGACATGATCCCTGACCTGAATTTGCAATTGTGGAGTGGTTTGTGCCACAGAATGTGATGTTGAATTGTGTCAGCATCCATCTGTCTCACTGAGTACATGAGCCCACAGTGCCAATGCTGTTCCTTGAAGAATTAATGGCTTGTGTGGCAAGCTGGTAAGCTCTGCTGGGCCCATGGAGTTTATAAGTGCCAGGTAACGTGGAGCTAAATCTGGCCTTGGTATCTTCATTTAGTCTTGGCATCTCTTCTCCCTTCAATAGTCAATCTCTTGAGATGTTCTCAGCCATTGATTTCTGGATTATTCTCTCCTCGGATTCTTAAAACCAGCATCTAAATTTGTACCGGCTGACTTCATTAAGAAACACTTAAGAATGGCTGCTGATGTGAAAAGAAGGGACATTGACAGCTGAGCAAAAGGCCTGACCAACCTGTCAGTGGTGAGGGGAACTTCAGTGGCAGCTAGTGCTAAAATTCAGAGCATTGCTTCTGAGGTTTAAGGAAGTTCAGCTTGAAAGAAATAAAAAAGTTCCACCAAGATAATGCTGGTTCATAAAGAGAATTTAAAAAACTTAAAGTGCACAGCTTAAAATACTGAAAGAATTTCCCTTTAGTGAAACAACAGTGGATGACAAAAATGCTAATCTTGTGCTTGTTGTGTTGTGCATATATTATAGCCTGACTGATACTGGATATTTTCAGGCCAACATCGAAATCTGAGAATATAATGGTGAGTGCGTTTTTTTTTAACATAAAATATGGCATAAACAAATATCTTGTTATTGATTCCTTTGATTAAATAAAGAAAATTAAGAATTGTGACAATAACATACACTAAGTGGAACATTTTACACCTAAAAGATGAACTTGTCGGTTCTCTCTGATAGACAAACTATAAAAGAATACCCCTGTTTCTAAATTATCTCAAACTCAGTTTGACATATCTGTCCTGCAATCTCTTGTTCTTTATCAGCTGACAAAATATCGATATGTCTCCTATAATCGGCCCATTTATCAGCATGGCTGATTTATCTCTCCAGCTCTAGTTTATATGTGCGTGAATCTTAAATGAGGCCAAATCTATGTTAAATCTTACATATAAACCACCTGTAGCCATCAGTGGTTCAAAAATGACATTTTAAAGGCCAAAAATACTGGCTGATTTGAGTCTTGGCCTTCAAGCAAGCGGCGACCAACAGGCCTTCTAAAGTGACTAATACGGTCATTGGCTTATCAGTTCATAATAGGTTCAGGGTAGCACTGACATATATGCTAGCATTGTTCTAAAGTGATGCTGAGAATAAGGAATAGGTGAAATTATGTTAACACATCATTTCATGAGTAGTGGTATTTTCTTTAGTCTTTATGAACAAGCCTTGGCGTTCCAACAGTCTCACCTTTGCCGGAGTAGCTCTGCTGCAAAGAGATTCGAACGTGGCCACAATGACACTTGATAGTGGTAAATCAATGACAATAGAATTCAACGAAACAGATTTAATAAGAGACAGCTCTGACCTGGAGCAGTTTCACTACATACTGTAGGAGCCATATCGATGTTGGAGCGGTTGAATCGCACCATCCAAACTCCAGGTGGATTAAGTATACGGGAGTATACAGCAGGAACAGTGATCGTTGTCCTTTTACTGGGAAACAATATCATAGGTAATCCAAAGAGAGTGGAAAATAAAAATAAAAAAAATGAATTATCTCCTCTTGTATCCAAGTTCCTTAAAGACAATACTGAAAATGAAAAATCTCCACATTTCCAGTAGTTGCTTTAGCTCTTGATGACCCCGTTTTGGACTGGGACCCACCCCAAACCACAGAGGGACAGTGCATGGAAAGAGGTGAAACCCCGATCCAGCGTCTGGATTGTTAAAAGCTGTCCGAAAGCTGTGGAGAGGTAACAGGTAAAAGAAAGGTAAGAGTGGGAAGGACTGGCAAGCCAAGCTCTGACTCCTCAGCCCTCTTTAGCTTCTAATCCACACAAGTGTGGGAAGAGTGTGTGCAGGGGGGGGGGGGGGGCGGGGGGGGAGGAAAAAGAAGGTGAAAGTAAAGGTATGTTCACTCTGGATCATTTACACAGGAGCATACATTTAGGTGCTGATGTAGCTTAGAACGTTTTAAATACATTTAAAAAAACTTGACTGGCTCAATTGATAGATTGGTTGGCTATTTCAACAGTCAGAACTGGGAAGAATCATACTAAAATGGTAGCTAACTGTACTGATTGTCTTATTTATTAGGAGGACCATAAAAAGTACATGATCTTGTGAAGAACTCAGTTCCATAGTTGGTGTGAGAGATTATGGAACTTCTTGTGCCAGAACAGGAACACTCCACTCATCAAAACCCATGAACTTTGCCTTTGAAAGTAAGATGGGTTCAATTTCAACCCTTAGCTAAGTGTCGTTCCATCATTGATCATCCTGCACACCTTGAGAAACCCCCTATTCTCTCAGCACTAAATGTCCCCAAAGCGAAAAATCAATAAATCTCCTCATGCAGAGCAGAGCAAAGAAAACCTTTGCAATGTTAATTATTGCACACTTATCCCCGATGGCTACCTTAAATTGTAGAATTGCATGTAATCACCTGAAGCTTGAACCTGGTGCAGGGATTAAGGCGCCCGTATCTGTTGCCCCATATAACTCTGCTGCTGCAGTTCAAATCCCTCTGAGACGTTCGCTTATGCCCTTTGCCGTTCCACTAGTCTTACGACAGTAGCCAAAGATGCTAACTGAAATGTAGCATGGCTAAAACTCTCCACATACTTCAGTAAAATTGGTCTTTTATCTCATCATTTAGATTGTAGATTGATCGATTATGTTAAGATGTCTTTAATATGACCACGTTTCTGACATCTTTGTAGCCTGCCTCCTTTTCCGAGATTGGGCTTCAAGTTCTGGACAAGATAAGAGTCAGAGAGCAAAGGCATCTTACATATGGGGAGCAAGAACTATGTGAGCTGGAGCCGCGGGCTGAAAATATCTTGTGGTAAGCTACTGAAAGCCTGCTGTTGCTCCTTTGACCTCGCAGCAGGTACAGTTCACTACAGCTGGATTTTAAGCCTTTGGGGGGACTCCACATTTTTAATAAACATTTAAAAACAAAGATGCTCATGAACGACACAGTGAACACATCCAGCATATAGCCTCAGTGTCCTCGGCTGAGATTTTTGAAGACGGTCCCCTACATATGGAAGTGTGACGATGCGTTTGTTTTTTTGTCCTGCCTTGCACATGGATGGCAGCCTTGCTGGATTAATCAGATTAGTCAGGTGGGGCTGTGCTAAACTGATCTGCTGCCTGCAAGCCTCTTAAAAGTGACATGGCTAACGGCACTGACAGAGATCACTTCAAAGCAAGGTCAGACACACAGGCGGCCCAGTTGAGCAAAGAACCAGCAACTGCAGAGGTAGCAACACTGCACAATACTGACAGGAGGATACAAGCACCTCTGACCATTGTCTTAGCCCTGAATGTTATTAATCTGTAGCCCAAACCAACAACTAGTCATGTAGGCAAAATATGCTAAATGAAGTAGTAGTCAGTGTCATTTTATCTATCTAAATACACTATCTATATTCTAATATGACATACCTGTCTTTAGCAGCCAGTGTGATACTGACATGTGCTTGGTCACATGACTCTCAAAGCTGTCATGTGATTTGACGATTTCTAAGTACATCTCTCTCGGAATTCTTTACTTTCTACGGAGAAGCTATTTGTCGAAGTTCATTAATCAAATTCTGAAAAAAAGAAATCCTGTGGGAGGAGCGATAGAGAAGCTTAAACGTTTGCCTCCTCCGTGACCCCACGTAACTGATCGGGTGAATTCAATTGGCCGCCTCCCACAGCGACATCACTCAGTGTTCCCAGCAATCATCTGTTTAGAGCTGTAGGAAAGCAGGGAACCTTCCCTGAAAAGAGTGTTAATTTACATTACTACAACAAACTTTTAACTAGTTATGAAAAAAACTCAATGCAATACTGATGCCACTATATGACCTACATAAGCAAACAAGAACATCAGTGAGAAGCTATTTCAATATGGTGATGTGATGTTGGATATCCTTCATGGCCGTCATCAGGTCAGATTCCCTGTGACATCAGACAAAGCTAATTACTGCATGTATGTTCACCACCCGCTTCTTAGGAGCCAACACCAACACCACGGAGCTGGAGGCCCAGGCTGTATTGCTGGGCCTGCTGGAGGGGAGGGAGACATGGGAGAACCAGCTGCATCTTTATGACACCAAGCTGTGGCACTCATGGAGACACTATGGCTTTTGTCCACAGGGGCCGCCTAAATCAACACAAAATGAAAGATCCTTGTAGTAACTTTAAAATGGGTGTTCGGTAATAGGAAGGCCATCACTGTTCCTGGACAATGTCCTCTGAATTTCAATATTCTACTCACCACCTACAAGGCACTCAACAACCGGGCTCCCCCTCCGTGTCCGACCTCCTCCACCAGCACGCCCCCTCCCAATGCCTCAGATCTGCTGATGCCAACCTCCTGCAGGTCTTCTGGGACCAAGTGCCAAACCTCGGGTGACAGGGCTCTTTAAGTCGTCGCCCCCTCTCTGTGGAACTCATTACCAAACCACATCAAAAATCCACCCACATTGTCATCATTCAAAACACACCCACCATGTTTTTAAGTAGTCCATCTTTATTCTATTCTGTTATATTATCATTTCCCCCCATCTGTATTAAATATTTTACAGCGTGTTTCCTTATTTTATCCTACAGTATGTTAAGAGTATTTGAGAACTTTGACAAGTGCTATAAAAATCTGTATTATTATTATTATCATTGAATAACTGGAGTTGGTCCCTGCAGATCTGTGACTGCTCACTGCAGCGCACATGCCTGCAGGAAATTCAGGATGTTTTTCCTCCACAATATCACAACACACATTTATAAAGATTAAAGCCTGAAGAATAAGCCAAAACATTTAAGAAACAATAAAATCAAAGTATCAGTTTCCAAAAGTTTTAAAAGATTGATTATACTCAACTGAAAATCTACTGTATACAATTTAATAGTTTTGAGGTTTTCAATATATCAGTCGACAGTTTTGTTTGTTTTTATTAAATAATTAACAGTATGATACATCCTATTAACAGGCACTAGAGAAATAACAATACTATCATACAGTAGAATGTCATAAGTTAATAAACAGAAACAATTCAACTCTGACAGACTTCACATCCCTCTGGAGAATCACACATTCAGAGGGTTTCCCGCTAATGTTGTGATTACTGGTTAATTTAACGTTGCACTTCATATTGTATGTTGTTGAGTTTATGGTCACCCGTAGAACTAGTATGTTCCAGGTCATTTTTTTTTGACACTGAAATATGGATAAAAGAAAATGTCAAACAAACACTAATTTGCAGAATTACATTTGCACAATAACTTAACTGAGCAGGTATATCATTGGTCATCACTACATCTCTCTGTCAAATCCTGGTCCGGCTGTGGCCGGTTAGAGAGCGGCAGCACCCTCTGTTGGTTCATCTGATACCTGAATAAAACAGAGATAGACGGCTAATTCACTGCAGATATTCATCTGTTAAAGCACCCCAATCTCTTTGATGTTAAGCTCTTGAAAGACATTTTTGTCAGAAAAGGATCTTGCGTCTTTGAATGGCGATTTAAAAAAAACCAAACAGTTCCTTTAGTCCAGTCTGCAGGGAGTTTGAAAGCTTTAGGTGCACCGTGGGGCTCCAGGGCTCGGCCTATTTGTTGTCTGCCAAGCTCCCAGTATCTGACAGCAGCACCACGTAGGGATGGGTGGAGCAGTGTGGGAGGAGTACGTAAACAAAGTTTTCACTTCCTCTAATATATATTTAACATTGTCTATGAAGGAAATCCTGTTCAGTCCAGAGCTTTGCTGCAAAAATGTCATTTATTGACGCGCTGACCATCATTGGGGGATTCACTGTTGTTTTCCACCTGCTGAGGCTGGCCTGGAGATGTTGGTGTGGATTCAGACAGTTTGTTTTGTCAGAGCTTTGGCATGTGGATTTAAAGACATATGGGCAATGGGCAGGTAACGTCAAAGGAAATCTACGTTATGATCTCTTACAAGTCGCTTTTGTGGCTAAACAAAAGCTTGAGTTGTTACAGTCAGATAGCTGAGAGAGGACGACTTTATATTATTTTTGAATTGTCTTTCATGCTTTCATGCTTTTAGAAGCAGAAGGCAGTTTGATAAGGGGACTTGATAAGATGTTCACATTCCTACATGATGGGACATTTCCTGCAAACATTTCGATGCTCTACAGGCACACATCAGCTTCAAGTCAATTTCCCATATTCCTTTGTTAAGTTAGTGCAATTTGTTTGTTTCCACTTCTGACACTTTTCTGATGAAAAAAACCTATTTGGACCCCAAATCGTTTTTTTCATCAGAAGAGTGTATGCACAATTTTTAGACGAAGAGAAACTGGGCTTGTCTTGTTTTTCTGCATGAGAAGGATCTTAACTTCATACAGTAGAAGAGTGTTTTCTCTTCTTACATCTCCTCTCCAATGAGCATATTTTGGAAGTCTTACCCCTTTGACCTCACTATTTCCCTTTTGGCTCTGCTTTATACTTGGATGATTTAATAACCAACATTTGCACCTGAAGCTCAATGTGGCAAACTTTGCTTTATCCATGCCGATTGTTTGAGATGCAGAATAGTGTGCAATATTTTTTTAAAATATGTCTATTTTTGCAGCGCTGGTTGAGGAGTTTGGTAAAGGAACCGACTTGATTGTAGTTACTGTGTCAAAGTTCTAGAGGTAATATTTAAGCATCAGGTTAGAACAATATACCGACTACAAGAAAGAAAGGTAGCTACTTAATAAACGCAGGTGTAATACTCCATTTTCAACCTTCATTTTTACATAACATCAG